TGAGTTGAGTCTTACTCTTAGTGGCCCAATAGAGAGTTTCCAAGACTTTAAATCTTGATGGAAGCTCATAGCCTCTCCTTACTCCCATGGAATGGCAGATGGGAACTGCCAACCTTGTGGTTAGCATCCCAATCCTTATCCTACAGCGCCACCGGGGCGAGGAAAGGCTCAGACAGATGGAAACCTGGCCTTCAATTGGCTATTTTTGTCTAATAACATTTTCTATGATTTTATAGGATGATTTTGACTTACTGATAGATATGAATATATAAAGGAGTATATATGTGCATGCATACGTATATATCGGTGTGAGAGTGTATTTACTTGTGACTATTTGACTAAGGATTAGCAACAGTGGATTCTGGAGATGAACTGCTTGGCTTTCTCTCTTGGCTCTATCGTTATTTTATTTATTCTTTTTTTTTTGCTCAATCGTTTTCTAACTATGTATCATTGGTCAAGATATTGAAATCTGTCTGTATTGGTTTCTTTATGTATAAAATGTGGATGATAAGAGCACCTACTTCACAAGGGCTCTTGAAGGGATGAAATGACTCCACATATGGAAGGTGCTTGCACAGCTTCTAATACTGTCAGATACAGTGGTGGAGTGTTGGGCTGTGATCTGTAGGGTAGGCAGTTTGAAACCGCCAGCAGATCTGCGGGAGAAAGACTGGGTTTTCTACTCTGGTAAACCGTTACCGTCTCAGAAGCCCACGATGAGTTAGCGTTGACCTGAGGGCAGTGAGTTCGGCTCTTTGGGTTTATTGAGAAGGCAGTCTACCTTATGGATGACCTACAGTCGCGCTTTGTGTACGCCTGAGTTGATCTCCTCTGTTCTAAACTGAAAGCTTCCCCCAGGAGGCTTTCAAAAATTCCAGGTGAAATTGTACCAACATTGGTTGTCGCTTATCCCTCTCTCTTTTTTCTTGTTTACATAAACATGTCTTTAAAGAATTAACTTAAAGAACATATCTCTAGGTCATATTTTATTTTTTAAAAGAGACCTGTTTTATTATTACTCTCTATATACTTTCTTTACTATTGTAATCTAGCAAATAAAAGCTAGCAAAAAAACATTGAAGATGTGAAGAACAGTGTAGTGTCATCCAATTCCATTGTATATTTACTACATTTCATAATGGGTTCACCAAGGTTTCCTGTTCATCTTCAACATTTTTGCTGACAGGAAAGCACTTCAGTTAGTTACCATGCGGATTTTTTATGTGTTATTTTGTTGTTTTACAGTAGTAGGAAGTACATATATTTGTTTGAAAATATTTGGTGTTTTGTGTTAAGGTCAGGACTCTAGCATATTTGGCAAATCAGTGACAGTTTAGTGAAGTGCAAGGACTCGTATTATTTGACCAAAACATACAAACAAACAGAGATCTGTAGACACTCAGACTATTTTTACTAATTATCTGTGTACATCATCAACCTAGATTGAGTTTCATAGGTAAGAGTGGATATTAATGTACGTGGCAAATAGTCAAGCATTTCAAGAAATGTTAACCAAATCCCCCTTGATGTAGACTGCCATTGTTTTTGCCTACCTGTGAGAACCACAGCGCTTACGGGAGACGTGTTGGTGCCTCTAATGCATTTTGCGATGGCGAGACTGCTTAACACTAGACAGTGTGTGATCGGCGTGTGTGTTAGCTGGGAGTATAAAGTAACGGATGCAAATAGTAATCTTTGAGCCAGGACACAGGCATTTTGCCCACAAGGATACTGCACCGTCCTTTGGTTCCTTGGTCAAGACCAAATGCTTTTCTCTGTGCTTTAATTTTCCTTATCTGTCAAATGAGGATGACCGTAACAGCCATTCATAGGGTTCATGAAATAATAAAAAGGGACCCTAGGGCGGCAGTGGTCATGTCCTTGACTGCTAACTGAAAGGTTGACCAGTCCGGCTGCTCTTTGGGAGCCAGATGTGGCGGTCTTCTTTGAAAAGGAGAGTTCTCTAGAAATCTCGTGGGGTGATTTTACTCCGTCCTATAAAGTCACTTGCTATTAGTCAAAATCTACTCAACTCAACAACAAAAATTGTGTTTGTGTGTGTGTGTGTGTGTGTGTGTGTGTGTGAGAGAGAGAGAGAGAGAGAGAGAGAAAGGGGGGTGCGTTGGGGTAGGGTAGAGGGAGGAGATCACATCAGTCCATATATGTAACATGGTTGCAATTGATGCCAACATTGCAGGAAGAATGAATGTCCTTTTGCTGTTGCCAGTGGTCTATGGGGGCCCCCCGCCCCCCCCCCCCCCAGGATCATCTGACATATGGACTGACAGCGTCAGGGTCAATTAATAGAGAACATATTGGGAGAATCTTTTTTCTTTTAAGATGAAATATGGAAAAATAAAGATTTTGATATTTTCTTCCCAGATTGTCATTTTGCTCCCAGGAATTTGAAAGATTGTGTGTGTGTGTGTGTGTGTGTGTGTGTGTGTGTAGATAACAGAACCTGAGTTTAGCTACTTCATCGGGACTGAGAAGACTGATGTTCATTTTCATTTCTGAATAGGTTCCTTACCTCTCTGTACCTGTCACCTGGGATATACAGGAAATGGTTATGGGCAAAATGGATGTGTACAACTCAGTAATATTTGCCTCAGTCACCCCTGCTTAAATGGACAATGCATTGTGAGTACTTCCTTCTTCTTACAAAATTCAACCACCTAAGGATAATGATAGATCCACTTCCAGGAAATACATTTTCTATATGAATCACAAATGTAAGGTTATGTTTCAAGCATAAGGAAAAAGACCTGTCAATAACCGTGTGATAAAACACAAAAACAAACTCGTTTTCCTGGAGTTGATTCTGCCTCATAGCAACTATATGTAGGATAGTCTTTATGGGAGCCAATAGCCTCGTCTTTTTGACAAGGAGAGACTGGTGAGTTTGAACCTCTGACCATGGGGTTTAGAGCTCAAAGCATAACTCACTATATTACCAGGTCTCTGTCAGATAAAAAGGCAAGTAGTAATTTAAGTTTCTAGTAAATTAAGAGTTAATGATTTTTCTCTCAGCAATTTACAAAGTAGTTAACGCAGCACACAGTTTGATCAAAATAAACCTGACTTCCTAGAAATTGTTATTTAGACTTATTCTTTATGTGGTAGGGAGCTGAAAGATAAAAAGTTTTTTGAGAGGTAAATTTAACAGACTTCAGCAGCTACTTAAAACATATCACATAGCTCCTCTTCATTACTTCGGTTAATTCAAGTGTCTTGTCTATCCATTTGTTGTATGGAGTCCTTTTTCTTTCCATAGGAAACAGCCTCTGGTTATCTTTGCAAGTGTGCACCAGGTTGGGCTGGTATCAACTGCACAGAAAACATCAACGAGTGTTTGAGCAGGCCCTGTTCGAATGGAGGGACTTGTGTGGATGGTGTTAATGCTTTCAGTTGTGAATGCAGCAGTGGCTGGACTGGATCGCACTGTCAGGTTCCTCAGCAAGGTAGGCTGCTCAGCCTTTCACACGCCAGAGATGTATGCACAATGCTGCAGGACCCTCTTCTGAAGAGGTCTGCAGTCTCGTTCGGTCTTCCTTCCTTCCTTCCTTCCTTCCTTCCTCCCTCCCTTCCTCCCTTCCTTCCTTCCTTCCTCCCTCCCTCCCTCCCTCCCCTCCCTCCCTCTCTTCTTTCTTTCGAGTTAAGTCACAAGTTTATCAAAGCCTAGAGTCACTTCAAAAGAGATGAGAAGGATGCCTTAAGCATGGATAAGCTACACTTCGCTCTGGAGGCAAAGCCAGGTCCCTCTCACGAGGGGAGGGGAGGATGTTGTCTAGGGGTCTAGTTTTTTATATAGTCTATAGGTTTTTTAATATAGTTTATAGGTTTTTTTTACATAGTACTTTCAAAGGGGAGGGGTGGCTGCTCTTCAGATGGCCAAGCAACTTTCTAATTCGTTACTCAGTTTGTCCTTGGGTCTCCTGCATCGTGTCTTCCAGTTTTGTCTGGGTTGTTGTTCTGGGTCAGCGCGTCTCAGAAGCATCTGTAAGTAATCCTGTGCCAGAATTTCACCAGTGCCTGGCTTCAAGGTGAAGGTGTTTACCAAGACAGTTCCCAGCGTCCTTGGTTCATGATTTGTTTCACAGGGTCCACTTCTGCAGCCGGGCAGGGCAGAAGTCCATGTTCTGTCCCTGTCAGAGGAGATGGCTAGCATGAGGTCATAATGGCATCTAAGGGTTTTCTGAGATACAGAGCTATCCCCTGTAATAAAGCTTGTTTTTAATAAATAATTTTATTGGGGGCTCTTACAGCTCTTATAACAATCCATATATCTCATGTATCAGGCGCATGTGTATGTATGTTGCCACCATCATTTTCAAAGCATTTTTTCTACTTTTCTTCCTCCCCCATCCTCCCACCCTTGTGAACCCTTGATGAATTATAAATTATGATTATTTGAGTTCTGTACAGTTTTCTACTCTACCTATTTCCATGTCTACTTGCTCAAAAGCTTCGAACGGTCATTTTTTTTGCAAAAATTCTATTGAGTAAGCATGTGTATTGATAAGAAAAAATTCCACAAAGTAAGCGTGTGTCTATTTCAACTTGAGCCAGAAGAATATTTTTTCAAAGAAAAATGAGTGTTTGTCCTTTTGATTTTCTTCTTTCTGAAAATAAAGCATGCCACAAATTCCCTTTTATAATTTTTAAGGACAAGTTTTATAGAGTAATTCCTAATGTCCCCCAAATCCTAAACCATGTTACTCTCTAGCTCTCGGATATACCGTGGCTCCCTGTTACCTGTTAAATGAGGAGTGGAGCTGATTTTCTGCCTTTCTTTTCTTTTTTATCTTTTTAAAAAATATCATTTTATTGGGGGCTCGTACAACTCTTATCACAATTCATCCTTCCATCCATTGTGTAAAGCACATTTGTACGTTTGTTGCCATCCTTAGTCTCAAAACATTTTCTTTTTTGTTTCTTTTAAAAATCATTTTATTGGGGACTTGTACATCTCTTATCACAATTCATACCTACGTCCATTGTGTCAAGCGCATTTGTACATTTGTGGCCATCATCATTCTCAAAACATTTGCTTTCTACCCGAGCCCTTGGTATCAGCTCCTCTTTTTCCCCTTCCCTCCCCCTTTATCTTACTTTTGGTTGTGGATTGGGTGAAGATTTCCAGAGCAGATCAGTTTTCCACTCAACAGTTCATACACATTTTGTTTCCTCCCATCAAGTGCACTCTTCACATTGTAAATAATATTTCCCCCTTCCTCCCTGTGTGTCCTGCTTCAATATCTTCTTTCATACCCACCTAAACTTGGTCTTGGGAGGACATGCTGCCCTTTCAAAAATTCTCAAATGGCTGACTCTTCTAAAGTGTACTTCACTAATGAAAATTGAGGCTTGATGGTGAGACCTGAAGGGTGATTAAAATATTAGAGGTTCCACCAGTCTCTACCTGAGCAATAAGCTGGTCTCTATTGTGATTTTGAGGTTTGTTTCTATTTCTCCCCCTCTATCCAGGACCTTCGATTGTGATCCCTTTTAGATAAATCGGTAGTAGAAGCTTTAGTCATTCTTGTCTCAGGATCATGGAGGCTGCTGTTCGCGTTGTGCAGTGGACGGATTGTTTCCACATGTCTTTGACTTTCATCCCTCCTTTCCCTCTGGACAGGGCGAGACCTATCTTTGCGTTTTTATATGGATCCTCCTGAGCTTTTAATATCTCAGGCACTACTCATCAAAGTAGGATGGAGCACTTTGTCTTTGTGCCCTTTGTTAGGCAATTGGACCTTGGTGCCCCACCAAGGACATGGTCCTGATCCCCCAGGCTCAGCAAGTCATGAGCTCTAGGTGTTTGATGAGATCCAAAAAGGTTGGGGTGCTAATTTTCAATATAAATGGGACATGCCTACACATCTAACCTTATTTTTTATGAGATTCTTACAATCCTTTCTTAAGTGAGGGTAGCTGACCTTCTTTGACACCCAGGCCTATTTCTATTGTCCTTTTTGTGGAATGTCTCTCTGCTCCTTAAAGTCCGTTCTTCCTTCCCATCCCAGGATCTCTGTCCCAGGGGGTACATCCTATTCATCTTTGTTTTAAAGCCTCCCTTTTACACCCCTCACTTCTTAACCCTGATTCGGAATCAACAGAGATGGATTGATCTTTCACTCTGCGCCTAGAACTATGGAAGACCCTGTAGGGGAAAGTGGAAGTGGAAAATACGGTCGCCACCTGTTGCCTACTTTACGTTCCAACAGAAGTGGCAACACTAACACAAACTATCAGAGGAGATACCAGAACTAAAGCTCTGAATGAAATTGTGTGGGGCAAAGTGTCAGAGAGGTCAGAAGTTGGAGAAGGCTTAAAGAATCAGGGGAAGCCATACAGGGGGCGCTGAGCCATCGCCTACACTGGGACGAGAGGTGGATGCTGACAGAAGGGTAGTGGTCTCTGGAACCGTAATAACGTCTCTCAGTGGGGTTGGCTTTGCGTAGCCTCTCTGTCAAGCACAGCCCACCTTCTTTTCCTTTGCAGTTTGTGGAGGATCACTGTCGGAGAAAAATGGCAGCTTCAGCTACCGTAGCCCTGATGTCGGTTATGCTCATGATGTGAACTGCTTCTGGGTCATCCGAACGGAAGAGGGAAAGGTAAATGTAGCATCTCCTGTTTAATTGCATAAGCTATTTATATCTGACTATGTCCTATGTGTAAATAAATGAAATATAATAGCTAGGAGCATGATGATGCTTCCACTATCATATTGGGAACTTACCAAACACCGGGCTTTGGGCTAGACAGTTTGTATGTACGCCTCTAACCTTTTACTAAGTCTTTGGATTCACTTACAGCATCCTGATTGGATAGATGAGATCATGGAAACCAAGAGAAGCTAAGTACTTTTTCAGAACACTGCTTAGCTTGCAGTTGAAGTCCATGGATATCATCATCAATTTTTTCTGGTCCCCAAGCCCATGATTTGTATGCATGGACAAAATAATCACTCAGTCTTATGGGGATGATGTTGGTGACTGACATAAGGTGATCCACTTACAAAATAGGTGCCCTGGTGGTGTAGTGGTTCCCTATTGGGCTGCTAACTGCCAGATCAGCAGTTCAAAAGCACCAGCCGCTCCACGGGAGAAAGATGGGGCTGTTTACTTCCGTAAAGAGTTAGAGACTCAAACTCACTGGGGCAGTTTTACCTGTTCGATAGGGTCTTCATGAGTTGGCATTGCGTCTGTGACTTGGTTGGTTTGGGTGTTTACTTCCTACGTGTCTTTTGTGTACTAAGTAATATGCTAAGTCTACCTCAGATACATTATATACCGTTGTATTTTAAACTCAAATAACTCCTATTTTTACTCAAATGGATAGGAGTTATCCTAGTTTTACAGTGAAGAAACGGAGCCCAGAGAAGCAGAGAAATTTGCCAAGGCGATTTTATGAGTGGCAAGCGGTGGCGAAACCCAGGTCACTCTGTCCAAGCCCGTGCTCTCAGCAGCTACACGGACGGACATGCTTCAAAGTCACGTTTGAGTTTCAGTGCTTTCCTTACTAACATGACTAACATTAACTCCTTAGACGTTTCTACATAGTCATTTCTCAGCAACCTCTTGGGCTCAGTAAAATAAAGTAGTATATCTGAGTCGATAAGGTTTTATCTTAAAATTCTGTAAACTTTCCCCAGAAAATTACTATCACAGAGGACATCGTGAAAGGTCAGAGAACATTTTTTTTCTTCCCTTGAGAAGGAAGACTACTTTCGGGACATGATGGCTCACAATTGAATAAACTCCATAATAAATTTGTCAGAGGCCATGTTATGTAAATCTTCATCTCTTTGAATCCTATTTACTGACTTTGCAAAACATTTTTACCTAGAGATGAAAAATCATACGTTAAAATTAACACGTTTTTTACCAGCTTGTGAGAAAATGTATGTTGTTTTTCCTAATTATTAGGATTTGACACCTCCTACCCACAACATACATCATGTAGGTGAAAATATTTACAAATCTGGGGTGCTTGATTTGTTCTCCTTTAAATTCTTTGAAAGGTGAAAATGAAGCAATGTTGGGCAACAAATCTCAACAATATCCTAGCACGGAAGTTAAAAGACGTGTGGATATGCTTTTTCATTAGCTGAACACAGTTATGGTCCCAAGTTATAATGGGAATTGAGTTCAATTCCTTTTAACACAGCCTTTTATGCTTGTGTTAAATATAGTTGCTAATATGTGCTTATTTTGAACAAAGTTGTTAATATATTATCTTTCAATTGTATTAACTATGGTGCTACATTTTAACTTGTTTTGCTATGAAGTCGATAATATATTTTGCAAATATGTAATTATTATAATTTCAGCATAAACTGTATTGTTTATACAAACAGTTTAGGCACAGTGAACCAGCTACTCTTATCAGTTAGGGTAATGGAAACACTCCCTAAATATAAGGATTTTTGTTTCCTTTTCAACCTGTGTATTGTTTTTCTTTAATGAGCAGGCTACAACTTGCTGAAAAGAAGCAAACTTGTCTCTTCCTGATATTAACTGAAATGTTTCATTATTAGTGTGACATTTGCTAGTTTGATAGATGGCCTTTATTGGATTAAGAAAAGTCCCTTCTACTTCTAATATGCTAAGATTATTTTTTTTAATGAACAATGTTGAATATATTGAATATGTTTTCTGCATCAAGATAGACTAATATTTCCTTTATGATTTTGCTTCTTTACTGATAAGTTAACTTAGCCTGTAATATTTCTTTTTTATATTCTCAGATTTTGGTAGGGAAATATGTCTAGCATCATAAAATGATCTAGGAATTATCTTATATATTTATATAAATATATACATACCTTAGAAATGTATGTATAGGTACATTTTAACTCTTAGGACATCTGTGTGTGTGTGTGTGTGTGTGTGTGTGTGTGTGTGTCTGTCTTTATTAACTCCTACTTATGTGCTCAGTACTTTTCAAAACATTTACCCTTTTCCTGGTCTCAGCCTTGGGAATTACCCATTTAGTGCAGTTACCCTGCCTGGCTGCCTACCTGAAGTCCATTAAGTTGATGTTCCATCCAGAGCTCCTGGGAAGAAAGGCCCAGTGCTCATTTCCATGGAACTAGCCATTGGAAAATCTTGTGGAGCACAGCTCCACTCAAGAGGATATCCACTGGGTGGCCATGGGTCGGGATCAACTCAAAGACCATTGGTTTAATGATATTCAGCCACGGAAAGTGTTCATGATTTACATATGCCTTGGCCAGAATCTGCTTCCCAAGTTGAAGTTGTCGGTCTGGGCTGGGCGTTAGCGTTTTAGTAAGAGGTTTGTAGGCGCTTAGGAAGTGAGCGTCTCTCAGCATCAGCGATCAGCATCCCTACGTGTGTGTTGCATGCTAAAGTGATTCCAGTGATTAGGGTACAATTATTGTGAATGGTGATATTAGTAAATCAAGATACATTTTTCAAATGTCCATTTGGTTTTGCTCGATTTAGAGATATTTTCAGTCATGCATTTGATGTGCCTTTGTTTGAGCATTTCATGAAACTTAGTAAATTTATTTAATATTAAGATTGTTTTTAATACTTTGATTTTGGCTAAGCTTGGTTTTGGCAATTTGAAAGAGTCATCGATCATATAGAATTGACATATGTATGAGTGGGCTTCAAAAGATTCTTGGGAAAATGGAATGAAAAGATAAAAGGGTTTTCCCATAATCTTTCCAAAGCCACCTCGTCGTATTTGTGGATAATTACAAAAAATTCTAGATACATCAGTTGAACGTGACTTGATGGGAGTATGTCCTAGTTAATAAGAGAAATATTAAAAAATCTTTAAGAATGAACATGCAAATAAAGATAAATATCTTCTGGGCTTTACCTTTTTAGGTCCTGCGCGTCACTTTCAGCTTTTTCCAGTTGGAATCAGCGGACAATTGTCCCCATGAGTTTCTTCAGGTTTATGACGGAGAATCTTCCGCCGGCCTCCAACTTGGCCGATTCTGCGGCGCCAGCCCTCCCAGGGAAGTCCTCAGCAGCGACAATGCGCTCTATTTCCACTTTTATTCGGAACACTTCCGAAGCGGCAGAGGCTTTACAGTCCGATGGGCAACACAGCAACCAGGTAAAGCCGAGCAAGATCTCGGAGCGCTTCCATTTTCTTGAGCAGGATTGGCTGCTTCAGGATTCAGTGACGGATAATCTTGTAAAATAATTATGTTCAGATCAAACAAGCCAAAATTCATCCGAATTTCCTTTCTGGTGGTTGTTGGTGTTCTGAGATAAGAGAATGAGAGAAAGTGGAAGTATTCCAAAATCTAAATCTTTGTGGGTCCCTAATGAAAATCCTGAACTGTATTTAAGTAGTAAACTGACTTCAGGGATATTGGTAAGGATGACGGTTGTCGAATCCTTCACTTTGTTATCAAATTTATTCTGCCCTCACTGTGGTCTGACATAGTTCTCACAGGAATTTTTAAAAATATGAAACCGTAGAATCATTTTCTCATTTCTATTTTACAGCGTGTGGAGGGAGACTGACTGGTGCTTACGGCTCAATTACGTCTCCGGGCTACCCTGGGAACTACCCCCCTGGGAGAGATTGTGTCTGGAAAGTCATGGCCGCTCCTGGCCTCCTGGTAACGTTCACTTTTGGGACGTTGAGTCTGGAGCACCACGATGATTGCAGCAAAGATTATCTTGAGGTAAGCAATTGTGTTGCGATAGGACGTGTAATGACCAGAGGACCATGGTGTGGTGTGATAGCCAGGGGTGATCACAAGGTCTTCTCAAGAGCTAGCTGATCTGTTTTGTATTTTCCTTAGCGCTCTATCCACGGCCATGGTCTAACTTTGGTTGAGTCCCTATGCTCCATTGTTTGAGCTTGCTGCTGCTGCTGCCTCTGGGTTCCTTTTGAAGAAGGGAAACAGACTAGCTCATCGTCTGGGTTCGTTTCCAGAAGCCTAGTGCCAGAACGTGGGAATTGCGGAATGAATGAAGGAGATGCAACGTAATGGTCATCTTCTCGTGTGGAGACTCCGCCCTTTAGTTGTCTGTGGTGAACTGACATTCTGTTGGTCTTGGTGACCGTGGCGTTCCTTGATGAAATTAATTTAAAGTGAATGTGTTTCAATGGACTGATGTGCGGGGAGTTTGAGGAAACATTGACAGTGATCATTGAGAAGAGAAAAAGTAAGCCTACGTTCTGACTCTCTACTAAAAGATTAAAAATGGGAAGGGGACGTATTCAAATATCATTTATCGGTGTATCCCAAACTGTTGCTTTCCTTCTCTAGCCGGAAAATATGATTGAGCTCTTAGGTTCTTCCTGTATTCTATGCCACCGGGCAGGCTCAGTACAACCCTTTCAAGGAGTGACGGAAACAGAATAAGCCTTCCTAAGCCCATTAGAGAAGAATGGAGGGCTACGGGATTATTCGCAAAGGATGGAAGGGGGAGGCGTTCAAACAAGGGTCACCTCAAGTTACAGCTACTAGTAATTTTGCAGTTGTTGTTCTTCTTTTTTTAATGACTTTATTGGGGGCTCATCCAGCTCCTGTCACCATCCATCCATCCATCTTTTGTGTCAAGCACATTTGTACATGTTGCCATCATCATTTTCCAAACATTTTCTTTCTACTTGAGCCCTTGGTATCAGCTCAGTGTCCCTCTCCCCCACTCCCTCCTCAATGAACCCTTGATAATTTATTGATTTTTTCCCATGTCTTAGAAAACTGACTAGTCTCCATTCTGTTGTCCACCCACTTTTCTGTTGTCCATTCCCCCAAGAGGGAGTTATATGTAGATCATTGTAATTGGTTCCCCCTTCTCCCACCTTTCCCTTCCCCTCTTGGTATCGCTACTCTCATGATTGGTCCTGAGGGGTTTATCATTCCTGGATCCCCTGTGTTTCTGGCTCTAATGTAGCAGTTCTAATCATAGATTTGAAACCTTTGAGAGTGACTGGAAAAATCTGCCATTTCCTGAAAATTTTTAGCAAGATAATCTCTTGAATGTTGGCATTGCAGTGACTTTTCTTGAAATTAATTTTCAGCAAAGTCCATCAAAGAAAAATTAGAGGCATTCAGTCATTTCTACAAATGAATTGCAGGATACATGGATAATAAAAAGCATGACTCACTCTGACAAGGAAGTGCAGAGAAACATTGAGAGACTCGCTTTTCTAGCTAATATTTCAAGGAGCTCTTGAAGTAGAGGATGAAAGCGATGTTACCCAATTACTTTGCTATCAGTAGAAAAAGTAATTTGAATAGCCAAGATGGGCTTGCAGTCTTGTTTACTTTATTGACAGTTTGGCTGTCTAATTGGTACAGAGTTTGCAATTTATAGCATAATTACAGAGACATGTATATATCCTAAAAGAAAAGCCAACAATTAAGAAGGACTTCTGGGTAAACATCATCATTATTGCAATCCTTAATTCCATTTCTAAATTCATTAAATGACTCTTATGTTGAATCTCAGGATGGCTGGTGGCACAGCAAATTGAACATACAATTGAACATACAATTATTTTCATTGCTACTTCATCACATTTTGTTACTCTGATGAATAGGGTGACCCCTGTGAAAGGGTCGTTTGACCCCCAAAGGGGTCGTGATCCACAGGTTGAGAACTGCTGACGTATTGTTTGTTCTAAGGTCAACAAAGACCTGGCTTGTTGAGGTCTGGAGATGTGATAGTCTGGGTACTTTAGAGAAACAAATCCACAGAAACTCGTATGTTTAAGAGACAGTTTTATACAAAGGGTAAGTGCACATCAAGAAAACATCCCAACCCAGTGCTGCCCAAGCCCACAAGTCCAACATTAGCTCATATGTCTGACACCAGTCCACAAAGTCTTCCTCCATCTCACAAAACACACGCAATGACTCCGACTGCAGGAGGAAAGCCAAGTCAGTGAATGTGTAAGCATCTCAGCGCTGGCAGGCGTCTCCACACGGCTACTCCAGCACCCAGGGCTGCATCAGGGTAGGTCCATGCAGCTTGCAGGATGTGAGCCTTGCCAGGTGAAGCAGGGAACTGGCTAAGGCAGCTGCACCCTGGTCCAACCATCACAAAGCAAGAGACCCAAGAACAAAAAAGATGAGGCTTATTGAGCGTTTATCTCTCTGCCCTTCAACTAACCCCATATGTGTTTATCAGCCAGGTTGGCACAGTAAACTTTAACTCAGGAGAGTTTGAACTTAATGATGCATTCTTTTATTTTAGATTCGAGATGGGCCTATGCAAACAGACCCTGTTCTTGGGAAGTTCTGCACGACACTTTCTACTCCACCACTCCAGACGACAGGTCCCTTGGCCAGAGTTCATTTCCATTCTGATGCCCAGATTAGTGACCAAGGGTTTCACATCACCTACTTAACATCACCTTGTAAGTAATCTGCTAATTAGGAGCTTACTGTGAACTTGAGGGACAAGGATATGCTTGTAGCTGTTATATTTTATTTTATTTATATTTTTGCTGTTTTATATTTTAATGGGATCTTGGAGATGGTTTAATTTTCTTAGATTAATTACATGCCCTTATAAGTCATCTATCCTTTTTTGATAAATCACAGAATTAGTGCACTAATTGTCTGTAGCAAACAAGTTTTTCTGTTTATCTTTTCAGTGTTATTAATGCTGCAATGTCCTCGGACCCTATACCATGGGACCCACATCAGGACGGAGAAATTTGCAGCACCTAAAGTTAAATTGCTCATGTCATCACATCGCTAGATGATTTTTGACGTTTTGTTGTGATGGGTTCATAGTGGCAGTACTGTCTATGGGAGAGATTTTATTCCTGGTGGCTCTGTGGGTTTAGCACCCTAATCCACAGCTTTGGAGTCAATTCCAATGAACATGACCCTAGAATTGCTCCTAAGGTTATAGCTTCATCTCTTTGGATGGTTTGAACCACCAACCTGTGATCAGGAGTCCAATGCTTTTCCGACCGTGCTCCTATTGGGCAGCTAATCACAAGGTTGGCTGTTCAAACCCACCAGCCACCAAGAGAGAGCAAGATGAGGCTGTGTGCTCCAGTAATGATTGACAGTCTCAGAAGCCCTAGAGAAGGACCACTAGGAGTCAGAATTGATGCCATGGCAACAGCTATCCCTGGATTAAGGCCACCTGCCCATCCCGGCCTCCTGGTAACGTTCACTTTTGGGACGTTGAGTCTGGAGCACCACGATGATTGCAGCAAAGATTATCTTGAGGTAAGCAATTGCGTTGCGATAGGACGTGTAATGACCAGAGGACCATGGTGTGGTGTGATAGCCAGGGGTGATCACAAGGTCTTCTCAAGAGCTAGCTGATCTGTTTTGTATTTTCCTTAGCGCTCTATCCACGGCCATGGTCTAACTTTGGTTGAGTCCCTATGCTCCATTGTTTGAGCTTGCTGCTGCTGCTGCCTCTGGGTTCCTTTTGAAGAAGGGAAACAGACTAGCTCATCGTCTGGGTTCGTTTCCAGAAGCCTAGTGCCAGAACGTGGGAATTGCGGAATGAATGAAGGAGATGCAACGTAATGGTCATCTTCTCGTGTGGAGACTCCGC